AAATCTAAGAAATAACCTAAATAAATAACTCAATAAAAAAAAACAAGAAATATCTGCATTTATACAACGTTCCTGTGGATTTAGGGTGTGTTTGTTATAATCACAATAACTGCTGTTATGACTTTGTTGTCATCACAAGTTGTGGTATGATCGGGATGATTATGTTGTTTGAGGATCAGAGTGAGACGCTCCCTTTCTGCTAAGACACACCTAGTTAAGTTTAATTTAGTTCTTCCCAGAATGAAACACTGTGATCAGTGTGAGTAACATACAGTCACGGTTTCTCAAGCTGTTTACTAAATAGTTGTATATCTGGATTAGCTGGTGATTCACTCCAGTGCAGAGAAAATCATGTGAAGTAGTACCAAAGTGCAGGGGAATATCTAAACCTTATAGTATGTAATTTGTGGTGAGCTGACCCACAAGTATATATTGACTGACTGACTGACAGAATATTTTCTTTGGAATTGAAAAAGGACATAAGTAGGTCAACATTAAAGGGATAAGTAATGAGTCAGGTATACAAGACTTGGGTTGCTGTACCTTGTTAACCAGGATGATAACTTTCCCTGAACACCCCTCTTTCCTCCTGTGGTCCAGATGTTTTTTGGTGATATAAACGGCAACTCTGGTTTTACCACTTCCTGTCGGGAGGCATATGATGATGTTTTTCCCCTCCAAGGCAGGTCTAGCCACATTCATCTGATAATCTCGAAGAACAATATCATCTTTTTCTGGTCCTCCGGCTGCTTCTACAGGATCTGTATTTCAGAGCAGAGGGTCAGACATGCAGACAAAACCTTCTAGTCTATGTCAGCAACCCACAATTACAAGGCATTACCAGCAGGAAGCGACTGGGCTTGTCATTGTTCGTGGTTTTAGTCTTGCGGTGGAATGTTTTTCTTAAAGCAGCTATAAAAAATGCCAACCAAACGATATGCACACACACTGAATTCATGGAATATGTTCTACATTTAAACCATAAGCACTGAGTTTTCCAACTGTTCACTTTCATTGGTAAACCAACTGATTTAAACCACAATTAACACTCTGAACACTTTACAACACATGAATAAGTACTACTGTAAGTGGCACACATATACACTCATGTATAAGTTAATAAATAAACACTGTAAAGTATAAACATCATAACAAATCTATAGCTGAGTCAAAGCTAAAGGGGGATAAGAGGCAATTTAACTGCCTAAACTTATACAAAAAAACAAACAGAGTACTTCCTTGCACCAGCTTACATCTGCATGTATTTATTAACATTTTAGATTTTCTTGAGCTGCGTGGACTGTTTCATTTCATCACCTGTAATTCTCAGCAATGTTTTTCCTGTTCTTGTGGCCTAGCGTGGCAGCATTTTGTCTCATTTTCCTGAGTGCAAGGACAGTAGACTTGCTATGATCCACTTCAGTCAGACTTTAAGTCACCGGCAGGCTATGAGTCATTTGCTCAGTGGATAATAATAGTAATTCCTTACATTTATTATAGCGCTTTTTCAATGACTCAAAGCGCTTTACATATACACACATTACACATATATCATACATGCAATGGTCAGATACTGTGGACAATACCCACAGGAGCAAGTTCAGGTGAAGTGGATATAACATGACTAAGGCACCATGCACATATACGTGTACCCCCTTCTTTGCTCCCTTCAACTCCAGATTCTACATTTCTACCTAGTTATGAGTTCAAACTCCAAGAAATTGTTTTCCCTTCACTGCAGACAGCTTTTAATTTCCCTTGTCAGCCTTGGTATGCCAGAGGTTAAAGTGCTATTTCCAGCAACTTCATGGGAGTAAATACACATCTGTGCCGATGGCAAGGTAGAGCTTTAACAACAAAAGGAAGTAAACAGTGGCCCGTGTGGCCCCCCGAGTTTCACCAACAGATCCCAGACGCTAAACTTATTAGAGCTGGAAGTCAACAACCAGCTATGTCTAAAACCGTTCCAATAAGAACAGAAAACCCACAGGCCTATTTTTCAGTTTGATTTAGCGCGGTAGAATTAATCTTAGAAGAGTAAGAAAAAAGGTTACACATGCATAAGTTTCACAATCTGGTGGAACAATCTTACAAGTAATCATTCCTGTTCAAACCTGACACTCTGGCCAGTCATGCTATTGAGACAAACTGTACTGTTATCTCAAGTTTAGAAAGTCAAAGACACTTCCTCCTTTTTTCATATTTTCTAAATATATCCAGTAGTCATTAGTCTATATGCCTCTTCTTTTGTGTCTCTACTCTGCCTTGATTATTCTGAAGGCAATCATCTGTTATGCAAACAGAGAGTCGGAAAGGCACTTAAATGAAACCCTTCCTTTACAATGCGGCAATATAGCATATGGTTTTCATTTTGAAACGCTTGCTATGCTCTGTCCTCTTTGACCTCTGTGTGGTTAATCATGGTACACACATGGGACATATTCTTTGGTGTGGAGCAGGCAGAAATGTTCCACTTGCAGGATGTTCAAAACACACTCCTTCTACTTTTATGTTGCAATATCATCGGCTTATACACATAAAGCATATATTTATCTCGCTCTGGGTTTATGTTGACTGTGTGTTTTTCTGGACCATAACTTGCTTTGTGAATACTGTCCTAAAAAAACATCAAAAGTATAAAATAAGCGTGAGCAGGGGTAAATCAGTCCCACCTGATGTTGAAGGCTCAACGCTGTCTGGCAGTTGTCTGGATTTAGCGCTCACCCCTTGGTACAGGTCTGAAAATATATCAATTAGGGTATAAAAAAATCATATTCAACAAATGCAGTACTTTTGTTTCAGCAAAAATCCATCTTTATAGATTCATATAAAAACTTGAATGAAATGTATCTACATAGATATACACCACTGAGGGTACTTGAGTAAATATATGTTTGGTGACCTAACCACATTTCCTTCTAGACATTATTACTGTCCAAATTCAGTTAATTGGCTTAACATGTTCAATATATACTAAATCAGGACTGCTGTAAGCTGTTATCCCTGAGATCTAAATATATATATTTTTTCACTCTGTTGAATGAAACAGCTCTGTGAGACCTTGCTCTTCAGGAGGCTCGTTGGTAGAGCTGATGACCATAAACTCGGGGCTATCCTGGCTTCCAGCTGCTGCTTCACTTTCCATCGGTTCATCTTTCAGCGAAAGCAGTTTCCCAACTGAGGGTTATAAAAAAAGAGATAAAGCACACTTTGGTAGTACTATGATTAATCATTCCTACTCAACACAGATACTCAACATGTCCTAATGACATTCCCTGAAATGATTGCGTTTATTGTACATAGTCACCTGTCTTGTCACAGTCAGATGACCCTCCAGTGAGCTCATACAGGCGTTTGTGATCAGTTCCACGCAGAATTTCAAGAAATTGAGAAAACCATCCAGGTCGACCTCTCACGATACTTCTCAGAAGCTCACGGGCTCCACCCCTGTTCCCCTCGTTTGCTGTTATAGTTTTAATCTATAACATATGACAATAACAGAAAGACTGGTTATGCAATCAGATTGCAGTGCAGTCGTCAGCAGAGGAAATGAGTGCATTCGTCTGCCATCTTGTGGTAAATCACCGCAAATACATCTAATATACCATTTTTACAAACCAGCTGGAAAAACAATACCAAGTTTGAATATTCATGTATTGACAGTTTTTACTACACCTGTACTGTGAATGCATATTGTAAGGAATTAATTATTATTTTATATCAAGATCATGTGATGCTTATCAATCAATCCCATAAGCGCATATTAGAAATACATTTGACAGCTGAACTTCACAACTTACTTTCTCAACGTCATCCTGGGTGATTAGTTCTTTAGCAGAACATTCGAGGTTCACCACTTCCGTCTTCATGTCCATAAGACTGGGAGAGAGTATTTCAATAAGCTTGACACAGTAATCATTTTCTGCCTCTACTGCCGCATCAACAGGGTTGTCAGGCTGGATGCAGTCCGCTGCATATTCACAACCTGAATGTATCAAAGCGTCCACAAATGCTTGGAACCAGCCAGGGGCATGAGGCTTCTTTAAGACTGCGGAGATGAGGAGATCAGCAGCCGCTAAATCGCTAACGCTCCTGGCCTTTTGTCTGATCTGCTCCTTCTGGTCGTTTTCGATTGTATGTAATTGATCTAGAACCCGCTCCACCACAATGCGCTTTCGCAAACTGGGCCTAACGTCATCAATAAGACGCTCCTTTCCCTCATCGCTTTCTGAAGCCATTACGACTCACCTGACCGAGAGAACCGGGCACAGAACACGCTACAGGCCGGCTTCACGGAGATACAACTACTGGCAGCCAAACTTATGATTCGCTATATCAAGGAAAACAAAACCATTTCAGTTTCGTTTCTCCTAGTAATTAATGTAGCCACTGGGGGACAGTGTTGGAACATAATAAGTAGTGGTTTGAACGTTCACAAAAACCTGCACACATTTTCATGCATTTTATAGCATAATATTACCCACTAAAGTTTTTCATAATTTACAGACTGTTAAAGTCTTCTCAGCTGTTAATAGGGCTTTGCATTCGTGCATAATTGTATATTACTCTTTGTATCAATATATTATAATATAAATATTGGGAAGTGTGTGGAATTTCTAACTATTTATGCTTTTATTAATATTTTTTATTTATTTATTAATTTGTATTAATGATGCATTTAGTTAAAGGCTGTACACACCAATTGCCCCCTCACAGAGGTGTTTTTAATTTAGTGGCTGATTAAAACATTTTTACTAATTTCTCCTCGAAGTTGCATGTGCCAAGGCCGGAACACTTTTGTACCATTGATACATTGAACACACGGTGACCTAATGTTGACTTCTGCATGTTTATTCATCAGTATTGAAAAGGTTAGGTAACATGTCAAAGAAGACTAGTCACCCTGTCAAAATGTTTACTAAATTATCTTAAGTTTTAAGTTACTTATTACATTTGACCAAAAAATGTGCCTTATAAAGAGAAATCCAGTGACACAGCTATGTGTGTTTTCATTTATTGCTCCCACAGCTTAAAAACAAACATATGTAGTACTGTTTTGCTAAAGAGTTTCCCATATTATTTACTCAGTTAAAAAAAATACTTTCTGCAATGTGATGCATTTATCTTCTAACAATTGTCTAACAACAATTCAACATTGACGTACATTGCCACCAAAAAAATACAAGAATCTGTATGCTTCGTCTATGTTATTGTTAGTTATACATGAAGATGCTGACTTTGCATTTGGATTGGTAGTATAGGCACAAAACCCTCTCTGGGGCCTGCTTATGCACAAGTACTAACTTTCCAGGTGTCCCCATCCCACCTCTCCCCCAACACACCATGTGTATCCTAAGAAGAGACAAATATGCTGACATCATTTTCATATTGTAATGTGCTACTTTGGGCTCATAAGAAGTGCAAAACAGTAAATATATAAATATAAAACACATGCACTGCCATGTAGAAATACCTACAACATACTTGTTTGTCTGAGGCAGCAGAACAGCAGAAAGACTTCAAGCTGCATGTTATGATATCTGCCCGGACAAGCATGTATGGTGCATTCTGTTGGCTTGACCTTGTGCAGTAGGTGCACATTAGTGACGCAGTAATAATGCACATTGTTTAAAGAAGAAAAATACAGAATACTTTATACTGTACTGTATATTGCAGTGCAATTTTCCATAACCCCTGAGTCACACTTCAGAGAAGATGGGCACAATGAATAAGAAAAACTGTTGTCATACCTTTGTAATAATGTTGCGCTTCACTAATAGCTGCAGAATTGTTTTTGTATAGTGTGTATCTGTATAGCACACGGGCTTGTCACTCTTATGGGCTCTAACAAGATCTTTTTCAGTATTGACTATTGCCGGTGTAAACATGGCCAGTATCCCAGAAGTGGAAATTCATATTATGCGTTTTAACCTATGGCCTGCATCAGCTTCAGATTCAGATTCTACACACATTCTTCAGCAAAGTCCCCCTCTCATAATTTGGTTATTCAGATCCTACACATATAATGGAAATGAGTACACTAAGTAGTCTAGGGCCCTAACTTTGGCTCACACTGCTTCCAAGTTTCAGGTTGGACTTGCAATCTGCCTCGAAACACTGGTGAGAGATGTCACCATCGTTTGTAATCTTTATTTGTGGTCTCCATCTCTACTTCCCTTAAACTGACTAGAGTGTTGTCACTGTTGTTTGCCCTGTCTCTTGGGACTTTTAGGGAGTGAGGTGTACAGTAGCCATTCTTTGTTAACACTTAGCTGCTGGAGAGATCCTTCTTCTGACGACAGACATGAAATGTTGGGTGGGATAAAGCCTAGTAAGGATATTAGCAAACTCCTGTCCGAAGAGATGGTTGCTGTCAAAAATGATTAACTATTACCAAATCGTTCAGGATGGGCAGGATCTGTGTGTGTGGTATTTTCCTGCTGGCATCATTTGATTTCCAGAGGTTTTCAAGTGTCACCTTGTCCGTCAGGTGTCTTACTATTGGGACCTACATGCACCTTCATTAGGGATGTTGAGGAGCAGGTGGTTTCATACTGTGCATACATTTTGTGGTTTCCTGGGAAGGACTAATATGATGGGTGTTGGGGAACTAAGCTTATCACAGCTTTGCAGCTGACACCAGGAAGTAACCCGAAGTAAGTATGATACATTGGACTGAAAATTGAGACCCTAGTCTGTGTGAGGTAGGTCAGTTGACTCTGCTTGTTTAGCAAGTTATGATGGGGGAAGGGACACATCTCTCTGATTCTCAAGGTTGTCTGTTTCCTGGGGTCCAGTGGAACGCAAATTGTTAAGGGTACTGTGTGGTGGTTATTATGGCTGAGTCTTAGCCCAGCCCTCTGGGACCAGTAATGTGTCAGGAAATAAAATGAAAAGTCACATTGTACAGAATCCATTACGGCCCATTAGAGTGCAAAGCTTGAGTGACACAGGACGCTGATATGATGTTGCAGTGCTAGTTCTAGCACAACTTGGTAATGCCCTTTAACCAGTTTACATGCAGATGAAGTTGTAATTAGTTAGGAAGCTGTAAACTTAATAAATAGTTCATTTCTGTCCTCTTATTGGACCACTCTTTGTGTGGTTGAATAGGTTCATCTTGATTGGTTGGGCATCAACATTTTGAGTGTGATGATGCTTAAAGAGTCCATCAGAGGGCTTCAGTGTTTATAGAGCTGTCGTTACAATATGTAACCATTGTTACTAGACTGATAGCAGTTAACCAACTGTTAACTGTAGCAAACCGGTTTTTTTTTAATCCACATGCATAATGAAGGAAAAAAAACATCCTACCAGGCCTACTAATACCAAGCCATTGCAAATGAACAATACAGATGCCTGTGCCAGCATGCTGATAAAAAGCTGCTACTTAAAAAAGTAATAACAGCTTAACAACCCAGGTATAAGAACAACGTGCCTCTGGAAGATTATGGCCTTGGAAACTCTGAGTCTGAGACAGGTTTTTGGAGGCCAGTGGTGTGGAGGTTGGAGTCAGAAGGGGCTGCTGAGGAAGAGGAGGAGATTGAAGAGGTTTCAGTTGGAAGAAGCATCAGTGCTGACTGTTGATGCAGGGTGATCTGTTTTTGTTGTTGTTGAGTCTCTGTATGTCTTTGTACAAGCGATGCTGTAAGGCTGCCCTCGATGGGAGCATTCACGTTGGCCAAGCTCGACAGAGAGTCTTTGGATTCCTGAACGGCCCTCTCCAGTTCCTGGTTGGGGCCCTTTGAAGAAGATCGTCAAAAAATGCATTGCATTAGATTTATCGAACGTGTATGTAATCTAGAACTAAATCATACAACATTTTGTATTGATTTATTGTTTTTTTCAACTTGGCCCCTTACTTGTAGTTAGTGTACAAAAAAGGTCCAGATTTCTATCAGAATAGTCAAATGCAAACATATGAATTGCACAAAAGATACATTATTGTAAAATAAAAAAACCCTACTAAATAAGAACTAATATTAAGTTCAACAGTTTCAAAAATCTATACTCTCAGCAGAGCAGTCAGAATATCAGATTATTTTGGCAATCATAACATAATACATAAAGTTACATTTATCTTTGACTTGACTTTTTTTTGCATTTTGTAGAATTGTCTAAATATAAGAGTGGAGGGATAGACTACAATCCATGATTTAAGAGGCGCTACATTAATACATGATATAATCATATTTGTATTATTAACATGATATCAATATAATATAAAACTATTCGGTTGTTAAGAACATAGTACTTGTTTTAGCATGCATCGACTCCCTGACTGGAGAAGCTTATGTCATCTAGACAATTCAGATGGTGTCAGACAGAGGCTGTGATTAACTCCTTTGATTGTCCAGACTTTCTGGCAAACACTACAGCAGACCAACCAATAATCAGACAGTTGGGAGCAAAGCAATAAGAAACAGCAGGAGCTTGTCAGATTACAGACACCACCTGTAATCTGATATAATATAATATAAATATAATAATAAACATTGTCTCCTTTAACACCCCTGCTGACTGGTTGAGAATGTGATTGTTGATTGTAAAAGCCAGCTGATGCACGACTCCCCTGCTCTGCCAAAAAGACGTGTGTAAAAATAACTTATTGTGAGGGGGGGGGCGGGGGTAAAACTGTCTCTACCAAAGACTTCCTTACTTGAGTTCCTGTATGGCTGAAAACATGGCATGCAGTCAGAGCAGCTGGCTGAACCTTCACAGCAGGTGTGTGATAGTCTAGGCTGGCAGTCACTGTGCTGTAGGCCGGAGGTCCCAGTGTCGGCTGTCTTTGCAGCAGCTGCAGGATGGTCTGAATATCTGTCACCATCTGATTCTCCAGCCTCAAGAAGAACAGGAAAATAAAAACAAAGTGAGAAATTATCACAAACAAGAGGTGATTAGTGCATAAAACGGACAAGTCTGCACATATAATGGCTGAAAACGCCCCTCACTGAGCACTAGATGGAGCTTGTGCTCCTCAGTAGACAAATGAAGAGACGTAGAGGCGTGAAAACCCATTGTGCCAGAGTAGTGGATGGAAGACTCTGCTCATGCTAGGAGTGATAATGAGCTTTCTGTGGGAGGTGTGATTTGAGCGTTTATTGTGGAAATGTCTATATCACACTTATTTGGGCAATCTAATTATGAGTAGAAGTCATCCAAGCTCTATATTTAGAGCGTCAGGCAAAACTGAGTAAAGCTGAATAACCTTTAAATACATCTGTATTCCCTCTTATATATACATATATATTTATAAATGTGTTCCAGGTTTACTGTGCTGCTCTATTATTACGAGGCAGCATTTTATCCACTGCCTTATGAAGGTGTAGGGATAAGGTAAAAGCAGCCACACAGTAGGCATTCATAACAGGTGCAGCAAATGTTTTTTTCCAGCTATTTTTATATATTTGTTGAGGAGAATGCCACGCTAACTTTTTTTCTGTCATATCTTTTTTCAACTAGTCAAAGCCAAGAAAACACAAAAAACCCAGAGAGGGCTGTTCCTCCTCCAGCCAGCTAGCATCATAGATAAAAAAAACATGGTTTGGTACAGTGCAGTTGAAAAATCTCTTATTCGTGCTAAATAAAATGAGCCAACTCTGTATTTCAAGAACCCTAATGCCATCTCTCTTCTCTGTGATTATTCAAGCTAAAAATACCCCCTGCTGTTCACGTGTCTGTTTATCTAGGTGGCCTGCTGGCTGCAGGTGTGCTGTAAAAACTGTGGCCAATATGACTCTCCACTACAGAAAATAATGAGCCTGAATATCAATGTATACACTCTGGAGCTGAGCTTACTTGCATATATATTTGTTTGAATTAGAGTGAGTTTATCTAGTGAGTGGCTTTTGTTCCATGATGTTTCAGACATACTTTGTTTTCAGTCGTCAGTTTTAGACTCGGTTCGGCAGCGGTACATCCTGCTTCCAGTAGATCCAGCCGCCCACTCGGAGTCCGACAACAGCTTCTGCCAGCTAGTTGCCTTTCTCTACCTACTCATGTACATTGGCAATTAAACTACACATTGCCAGTGATCGCAGGGGACGTGTGACTTAATTTTAGCTGTGTGGGAGGCAACAACTTAAAAAAATGAAGTGCCTGTTAATAATTAATCAGTGACTGAACATCTCATGGCAATATAATAATGTGAATAATTAGGAAATATCATATTCTATACCAACAGTTTTAATTGGGTTGTTTCTTGAGAATATGATCAAAAACTATTTAGAACATGCCAAGTACTCATGCCTAAAAAAGTACCTTTCCACATTTCTGCATTGACTGTATTCAATCCTACTTTTTCTTTGAGTAGCTTTGAGGAATCTTCCTACATTTTGAAAAGCATCTCCGGGTTTGAACAACATACAACGAGTCAGAGAGTGTATAACACTTTGCATTCTTAAAACCAATAGAAAACTCAACTGTGTCAAAGGTGAAAATTGTACAACAGAAACGCATGGAAACTCTTGGTTTTAAAAAGTCAACTAAGGTCTTCCTGTTGTAGTTAATGGACATTTTTGAGACATCTGGTCAAATGGTCAAATGAAACTGTTTTGCTTTTAACCAGTGGATACAAATGTCCCCTGTGTTAAGTTTTTACTATTGTCAATGTATTTCTGTATGTGCAGTGTGCTCTTTATCTGTTCTGGTCACAATTATCCTGCACGTTGCCTGACGTAAGGCAAGATGATATCTAACATTATTTAATACATCCTCCAGGTACGTCTGTTAACCCGTTACACCGTGTCATAAAAGCAAGCGTAGTAAGTGGGCATGCGAGTAAGAAATTGAGTAAATAAATCAAAATGATAAAGCTATTATGAAGAAAACATAATAAAACACCTTTTGTGCTTGTTACACAAAGAGAGAAAAACACTTTCATACAATGTTCACACTCTGGTGTAATTCATAGGTTATGACAGCAACAAGAGGACAACCCTGTGTGTGCTGACTCTGAAAACACGTACCTGTTTAAGTGCTCTTGAAGCTGACCTAAGCGCTGTTCCACCTCTCCATACGTGATCTCGCTGGCCGAGTTATCGTCCTCTCTCAGGTCCTGGAATTGTGCTGACTCATCCAGGTACTCCGCAGGCTTCTTACAAGCCCATTTATCACAGCACAGATCTGGAGAGCCAAACCAACACGCTGGCTTTACATCCTCACATGTGGGTCAGATAAACGTCATCACTGAACAAAACAACCCTCCCACTGAAATAGGACGTAATTAATCTCTACAGGAGAGCTATGTGTAGATTATTTGCTGTGATCTATCAAGCTTGTACTGGGACTGGGAGAATCAAGGCAACGTTTTCCAATAGCAAACTAACATTGTTATCTCTGCTGGGCACCGGTTAGTATTCAGCTTGCTGTCTGCTGATGTATGTTGAGCTTCTTTGTGAGTTTAAACAGAGAGTAGTGTGATGACACTATCTGGAGCAGCAGTCTGGGCAGCAGGCTTTTGGACTACCACGGTGAGCCGTATAGATATGAGGTGGTTCAGTGTGTCGTTACCATTCAGGCACTGACCTTTACCCTCATGTGGCCTTATGTTCTGTATCCTTCAAGCAGTAGAGATCAACAATAGCTTTCACTATTTGGCTTGTCAGATGGAAGTGTATTGCCAATCCAAAATCCTGAAATATCTTTTTCAAGATGATTTATTTTGAGCCAGACTCCACAGATAAAGAAATACCTTTAGAATGTCAATGTTCTTCTTTCTTTTTCTGTATTCTTTTGATTAAAAATATATGTATTCCATTATAACAAATAATATAAATGTTACCTAATTATGTAAATTTGATTCACATCAACATTTGCAATTTCACCTTTTTCTCCCTAAATTTGGAAAATCGTAGTATAGTATTAGAAACCACTGTGCAGCGTTTTTGTGTATGAGTGTGTAAACGTATGGTTTTATTACTCAAACTATCCTTAATAAGCAGCCATTTGCTCCAGCCAAGCAGTAGTAGCCGCTAATCTAGAAACAAAGACAAAAACCCACCATGGCTTCTCATCGTCCCCAAATATGTCTTAGCTCTGCACAACCCAAAACACCCTGGCAATACTTTCCGAGTTCTTGACAAAACATTGAAATTGTGTTCACATAAAACTGAGAACAAATTAGACTACCTTCGAAAGATGGTCTTCTCTCCACGTTCTCTCTGACTGCCAGATGTGAGCCCAGGATGGCGTTGGGTGTAGAGGGTTCCAGGACTTCTGTACTTCTCTTTAGGGACGAGTTAGACTCCCGCTCCCTCCCTAAGTTTGTTACCTCTCCCTTGTTTTCCACTGTAAAACAACAATCAACAGGATTTAGTGGAACACTGAACTGTATTCTGTAGGGAGTGAATGCTCCGCTCAGGGAACAATAACAAAGAACATTTGCTAACACCAGAGGATGTGCTTAACCCGAGCAAATTAGCTTCCACCCACCTGCAGATACATCTGGTGTGAAGGAGATCCTTCTTTTGATGCTCTTACTGCCCTCGCCGTCTGAATCCCCGCCATGGGAGATGGAGGGCTGCAACATGTGAATTGATTAATTGTTTCAGATTAACTTTGTTTACTGATTATACTCGTATACAAGGTGACAATAACACAAAAGCATTTGTATAACAACAGAAGCAGCAACAAATTCATTAAAGAGCAACTACAAGGCAAACAAATCACAAACATGGTCACATTTCCCATAATGCTAAATAAAATAATTGGGGGTTACTAGGAAGGGAATATTCCCTGCATAAGCAAGATAAGGTCCCTACATTTTATAAAATAAAACCTATAACAAAACCATTAATGGTCAATAATCTTCAGTTTTATTATTCTAATTTTTATAAAATCTTGCAACATTAAAGAAATGTTGTAAGTGTCATTTTGTATATCCTTGGTCATCCATTGTTACGGCCTCAGTTGAACATGTGGCTCTTATCATCTTATCATCTACCTTTGGAGACTCATCTCTGAGGTTAAAGGTCAGCTCCAGGTTGTTGAAGAAGTAGTCGGCAAACTCTGGGTACATGTCTATCACCTCCAGCAGATCCTCCCTCTGAATGGTGCTCAGGTCACAGTAGCTCAACGCGCGCACATCAGCATTGGACTTCCCAGGTTTGGCAAGTACATGGATAATTTCCCCAAATATGTCATTTTTTCCTGGGATCAACACACAAAGAGATGATACATGTTGCAGATGGGTTCACTTGAACATTGTCAGTGTTACCTGCGTTGACTCCTACAAGTAGCCTTGCATGTTATAGAGAATCATTTATTGTCTATCGGGAATTGTCTTGCTATTAAGTAGGCTCTCACGAAAGAGCCCGACGTGTTTGTTGTTGTGCAGGATAAAAATCAAACAGTGTTTCCTCTCCGTGTGGATATTCTCCAAAGGCCTAGCTTTGATCCATTATTTATTCTGAGGAATAACTGCTAACTCAAAGCCACTTTGATGTGGAAGGAAAGAAGGCTTTGATTGTGATTGACATACTTCAAAGTAAAAAAAGGTTGATAATGGCCATCACATAATGAAGCCAATTACTCCCAAAACTTCCAGAAAGTCACAAATTGTATCATCATCATCATCATCAGACTGTCCTCTGCTGGATTAAGGCTTCATTTGGCAAAGGACTATATTTCAGGTTTAATAAATCAATAAATCATTTTATTGGTCACGAATATCACTTAATGCCACAAGTCCGGCAGTGGCTCAGTCAGTAGGGGCTTGGACTGTGAACCGTCGGGTCGCTGGTTCAAGTCCCCCGAATAGACCTAAATATGGAGTGTGGACTGCTACTTGGAGAGATCCCAGTTCACCTCCTGGGCCCTGCCGTGGTGCCCTTGAGCAAGGCACTGGATAACCCCTGTTTGTGGCTCACCGGTGAAGGAAAACAGAAATACTCGTATTCCTAATGAGAGAGATCCCTATTCAGTATCAACATATCACTGATGCAAAATACTATTTGCATTTAGAGCTGGCAATTAGTTTATTATTTTACTGCCCTTTTTTATCAATGCCACTTTGCAGCTGCTACTCATTTCACTGTGCTGTCAAAAATGTCAGCAGCGTTTTTTAGATTGCCAAACAACCTTTCGTGGAGCCACTTAATAGAAATGTCAGAGTCTCAAAGCTGTCTCATGAGCAGCCTTACTGCCCAGAGGACATCAATGGGGGGCAGCAGGCACTCCTTGCAATTCTTGTCAAAATGTGTGAACACCATAGGGTACAGCTGCTGTAATAACCTGCTAATTATTCGTGTTTAAAGGATTCACATTACATAATTCTTTGATGTGCACACAAGTAATTCTGAGCCTACTTGCACGTCTTACTGTATTAAAGTAGTGTTTGTCCATTGGGAAACTACACTGTTATGACAGCAGCATCACTGCATTTATAATTATCAAGCATTCTGGGCAGAGTAGGGGGTTAGCTCAATCAATAATTGAACATTTTCCGTCAATCTGAATAAACTACATAATTAATACACTTCACAAAAAGCCAAAGGGAAAAACCCACGTGTGTATAAAAAGGTACAGTGTTTTCTAGTAATTTGACATTCTGAAAAGCATACTTTACACATATTTATGCAAAATGTGGAAAATATGCATAACACAGACATCCAATCCTCAGTCTATCCAATACAACCGTACTGTATGCATATTCACATGTGGGTATTAGCAAGATCTTTCGAACAAGTGCTTCCTCTTTGACTACAAACAAAAAATAAATCTTGGCAAAACACGTAGATTTGCTTTTGCAAGCTCACATAACTAACACTAAGGTCAAAGTAATATACATTTTTCTTTTTCAAGATCAAATTTGACCAAAAGCAGAGAAATACGTTTTTTTTATCCATTCTCTCAACAGATCTGTCATTCAGTTCACAATCATTTGGCAGATCTTCAATACAGCAGGGAGCTGACTTTTACGGTTATCTACATGGTGGACGTTTTGATAGCAATAGAAAACACATGAAACGGATGATGGACACGAGCAAAAGGTCAAACAAAAACTATTGGCTTAAAGAAGACGAATACATTAACTTTTACCATGCTTTATGTAACTGCTTTTGCAGCATATACATAGCAGTCGCTTATTAATTTAGCACCCCCTAACACTTGTTTCTCATTATCATATTTCACATAATCAACAAGGGATTGTATTTACCCAGGATGGCTACCACAATGTCATCTTTCAGGATCTCAATAGAGCCACGGGACATAAAGTAGAGAGAGGTGAGCACATCGCCACAGTGGACCAGAGTATCTCCAGGAGGGGCGTGAGTGGTTTTGAAGTGCATGGCCAAAGCCCTCAGGCAGCCTTTGGAGGCTCCTTGGAACGCTTTGCACTCCTCAAGAAGATTCTTGTTGAGATGAAGGCAGATATCCGCCTGCAGGCACTCAGGAAAACCTTTTAACACCTGTGATGCAGAAGAAAAGTGTGATTAAAATGCACACAATGTTGAGTTTGATATCCTCAAAGAGGTCGATATACATTCAAGTAGATAGCTGTGAGCAGCAAATGTGTTATTGTGATGTATACTTTTACTTTAAGGAAAATACAGTGGGGCAAAAAAGTATTTAGTCAGCCACCAATTGTCCAAGTTCTCCCACTTAAAAAGATGAGAGGCCTGTCATTTTCATCCTAGGTACACTTCAACTATGAGAGACAGAATGGGGGGAAAGAATCCAGGAAATCACATTCTAGGATTTTTAATGAATGAATTGGTAAATTCCTCGGTAAAATAAGTAATATTTGGTCACCTACAAACAAACAAGATTTCTGGCTCTCACAGACCTGTAACTTCTTCTTTAAGAGCCTCCTCTGTCCTCTACTCGTTAACTGCACTTGTTTGAACTCGTTATCAGTATAAAAGACACCTGTCCACAACCTCAAACAGTCACACTCCAAACTCCACTATGGCCAAGACCAAAGAGCTGTCAGAGGACACCAGAAACAAAATTGTAGACCTGCACCAGGCTGGGAAGACTGAATCTGCAATAGGTAAGCAGCTTGGTGTGAAGAAATCAACTGTGGGAGCAATTATTAGAAAATGGAAGACATACAAGACCACTGATAATCTCCCTCGATCTGGGGCTCCATGCAAGATCTCACCCCGTGGGGTCAAAATGATCACAAGAACGGTGAGCAAAAATCCCAGAACCACACGGGGGGACCTAGTCAATGACCTGCAGAGAGCTGGGACCAAAGTAACAAAGGCTACCATCAGTAACACACTACGCCGCCAGGGACTCAAATCCTGCAGTGCCAGACGTGTCCCCCTGCTTAAGCCAGTACATGTCCAGGCCCGTCTGAAGTTTGCTAGAGAGCATTTAGATCAGGTGTCTCAGACTCCAGGCCCGCGGGCCAGACGCGGCCCGCGAGATAGTTTCTCATGGCCCAGTTGTTGATATCATGTAATAGTGTTAATCTGGCCCGCGCGGTTACGTTTGCGCTTTCAACTTTTAATTTAATGTTTGGATTGATCCCGCTGCTGGCAGGGAATTGCTGCGCGCAGTTCCCTCGCCCCTCCCCCCTCCGAGGGAACTCCGCCACGTCAATCAAATGCGCGCAGCGGAATCAATCACAGTGATCCAAAAGTAACACAGAGTGGAAGGAAAATATATCGCTAAGTCATGTCTACATCAAAACTTTCAGGGAAAAGAAAAGTCGATGATGACCACAGAAGATTTCAGGAGAAGTGGGAGACTGAATATTTTTTTGTCGAGTAGCCTACAGGGGAAACGCAACGTGCCTTATATGCACAGAGAAAATCGCTGTATACAAGGAGTATAACGTCAAACGTCACTACTCAACTAAACATGCAGAGTATGCAAAATACCTGGGACACGAGAGAGAGAAAAGAGTCACAGAGCTAAAAAAATGTCTATAGAAGCAACAAAATCTCTTCAAGAAAGGAAGCAATGAGGCTGATTTAGCAGTCGAAGCTAGCTATGTGGTGAGTGAGATGATTGCTAAGGCGGGAAAGCCGTTTACGGAAGGCGAGTTTATAAAAAAGTGCATGTTGCAGGCTGCAAGTATAGTCTGTCCGGAAAAGAAGGGTCAGTTTAACAACATCAGCCTGTCAGCTAACACAGTGGCAGAGCGCATTTCTGACTTATCAAGTGATATATGATCAGCTGTGCGACAAAGCCAAACTTTTCTGTGCATACTCTGTGGCTCTTGATGAGAGCACGGACATCACTGACACCGCTCAGCTCGCAATGTATGTCCGTGGTGTTGATGACAAGTTTGAAGTGACAGAGGAGTTGCTTACAGTGAAACCAATGCATGGCCAGACCACCGCTCAGGAGATATTCCAGCAACTGTGTGATGCCATTGATATTGGTCTGCCATGGAAGAGGTTTGTTGGAATTACGACCGACGGAGCGCCATCAATGACAGGGAGGAAAAATGGGCTGGTGGCACTTGTTCAAAGAAAACTGGAGGAGGAGGGTGTGGAGGAGGCTATTGCTCTGCACTGCATTATCCATCAGCAGGCCCTTTGCAGCAAATGCTTGAAGTTTGACAATGTGATGTCTGTTGTTGTGAAATGCATCAACCATATCAGATCCAGGGGCTTAAAGCACCGCCAGTTCAGTGCTTTTTTGGAAGAAATTGAGTCAGAATAGGATGTGCTCTTCACAGAGGTGCGTTGGCTCAGCAGGGGACACATCCTGAAGAGGTTTTTTGAGTTGAGAACAGAACTGAAAGTATTCATGCTGGAGAAGGGTGGGATGGTTGTTCCCGAGCTGAGTGATCCCAAATGGCTCATGGACTTAGCTTTTCTTGTTGACATCACACAGGAGCTGAATGCACTGAATAAGAAGTTGCAGGGCCAGGGCCAGCTTGTCAGTGCAGCATATGACAATGTCAAAGCATTCTCTACAAAACTGGTGTTATGGAAAGCCCAGCTCCCTCAGAAAAACCTCTGCCATTTCCCAGCATGCAAGGCTCTCATGGACAAGGGCACAGCATTCAGTGGTGAGAAGTATGTTGATGCCATTGTGAAGCTACAGGAGGAATTTGATCAGCGGTTTGCAGACTTCAAGACACACAGAGCCACTTTCCAAATGTTTGCAGACCCCTTCTCCTTTGATGTGGAAAATGCCCCTGGTGTGCTTCAAATGGAGCTCATTGACCTGCAGTGCAATTCTGAGATCAAAGCCAAGTTCAGGGAAGTGAATGGGAAAGCAGACAAGCTTGGACAGTTCATGAGAGAATTGCCCCCTCCTTCCCTGAGCTTTCCAGGATGTTCAAGTGGACCATGTGCCTTTTTGGGAGCACATATATGTGTGAACAGCTCCTCTCCACCATGAACTTCAATAAGTCAAAGTACAGGTCCAGACTTACTGATGAACATCTTCAAGCCATACTAAGGGTTTCAACTGCTTCCTCCCTCAAACCAAATGTGGCTCAGCTGTGTGAGAGGAAGCGCTGCCAGGTCTCTACCAGCAAGGAGTAGGCAAGAGCAACTATAAATAGTTATGTTGTGAAGAACCGTTCATGTTAAGAAGATGTTGAAGAACTGTTAATGTTGTATTTTTTAATACATTTTTTGTGGAATACTTGAAGCGGCCCAGACTCTACGTCCAGCGGCCCCCAGGTAAATGGAGTCTGAGACCCCTGATTTAGATGATCCAGAAGAGGATTGGGAGAATGTCATATGGTCAGATGAAACCAAAATAGAACTTTTTGGTAAAAACTCAACTAGACGTGTTTGGAGGAGAAAGAATGCTGAGTTGCATCCAAAGAACACCATACCTACTGTGAAACATGGGGGTGGAAACATCATGCTTTGGGGCTGTTTTTCTGCAAAGGGACCAGGACGACTGATCCGTGTAAAGGAAAGAATGAATGGGGCCATGTTTCGTGAGATTTTGAGTGACAACCTCCTTCCATCAGCAAGGGCATTGAAGATGAAACGTGGCTGGGTTTTTCAGCATGACAATGATCCCAAACACACCGCCCGGGCAACGAAGGAGTGGCTTCGTAAGAAGCATTTCAAGGTCCTGGAGTGGCCTAGCCTCAACCCCATAGAAAATCTTTGGAGGGAGTTGAAGGTCTGTGTTGCCCAGCGACAGCTCCAAAACATCACTGCTCTAGAGGAGATCTGCATGGAGGAATGGGCCAAAATACCAGCAACAGTGTGTGAAAACCTTGTGAAGACTTACAGAAAACGTTTGACCTCTGTCATTGCCAACAAAGGGTATATAACAAAGTATTGAGATGAACTTTTGTTATTGACCAAATACTTATTTTCCACCATAATTTGCAAATAAATTATTTAAAAATCAGACAATGTGATTTTCTGAATTTTTTTTTCTCATTCTGTCTCTCATAGTTGAGGTATACCTAGGATGAAAATTACAGGCCTCTCATCTTTTTAAGTGGGAGAACTTGCACAATTGGTGGCTGACTAAATACTTTTTTGCCCCACTATGTTGTATTAAAACTTGACAATAACACAGAGATCAAGATGTGTTACAGAATCAGAGACCCAGTAAACACAGTCATATACACCACATCTTTAGTGTATCATGAGAAAAACTGAAATGTAATTGGATGCTCTAGTGTTTCTTAATCTAGATTAATGCAATTTTTATCAAGTTATAAAAATTGCTACTCGTGTGTGGTTTACAAATGATCCACCTAAATTTGTGAAACCACCCCCGAAGCTCAACACACAAAGCATGCTTAGTTTTGGCTTTACTTGAACTGTAACACATGATATTGGAGTAAGGAGATTCCTCTTAGTTTTATTCTTCAATCTGATGGTAATTGAGAGGGAGTTTCTACACAAAAACATAAAAAAACCTGGTAATGAAAACTTTGTTGTTACAATATCGGATGATATCATATCAACGATCAACGAGATATCTTCTTGAACATGAAATGAATATGTTGCCACATTTTTGGTGAGGATGAATATATCATGATATTGTTGACTGTTAAAAAGATGTAACAGATAAAATGATTATAAATACATTCTAGATTAAATTAAAACAAAACGAAATGCATGCTACTACACAAACAATGCTCTTAAATCTGATTTGTTTGCTTTACGATATGAAACTATGCTATACAAATGTAAAATAATTCACACAAATCATGCACAACTAGTGATGTTCATTTCTTGTATTGCTATGAAAATGACAAGAAATATAAACATGTACCTCCTGCTCTTACCAATGTAGAGATGTTAATCCAGATGAAAAGCAGACAAGAGAAAGAAAGCTCTTTTTAGAATATTGCATATAAAGTATTTCTTAAATCATTCAATGAGATAAGTTAATTTATGTTATGAATGCTATACAGTTAGCAGATACATGCGCTGATTATTTTTTATTTACCGTGTTCATATCAATGCCATTGGTGTAGGCCCAGGAGTGTTGGAAGTACTCCTCCAGCCTCTGCCTCAGAGGGTTGGGTATCTGGTGGAAGCGTATGAACTCCCTGACCCGTAACATCTGAGCATGATACCTGGCCGTACTCGAGTACAACCTCTGGATGATGGCTGAGACGTTTCCGAAAATACTGGCATACATGAGGGCTGAAATACAAACAACGAGCAAAAGGCGAGTTACATTGTACAGATTGCTTTGCATGAGTATTGCTTTTGCCAACAGAGACCCGCTGTTACATTTAATAAGTAGGAACAAGTGCTGCTACAACAAAGACAATCTGCCCTTAGACCCTTGCTTCAAAAATATGAATATTCTCCTAAAAACTTTTAATGGGGGAAAAAAGGAAGAAACACTGCAGGGATGTTTCTCCCACGACACTCACACATGCAATAGATAGTCTAAATAATGATCAAGAGAAGTTACTGCCTCATCCACTTTAAGTGCTGCACCAGATAAAAGCAGAATAAAGTTCTGCTGAAAGAAGTTATAAAATATAAAAAAAGTACTCACAGCCAATCAACATGACACAGATGGAGAAGATCTTCTCAGAGTTGGTGTTTGGGGAAACATTTCCAAAGCCCACGCTGGTCAGACTGCTGAAGGTGAAGTAAAGTGCAGTGACATACTTGTCCTTGATGGAGGGACCAGAGTTAGGGTCGCTGTAGTTGTATATCTTTCCTATGGACACACCCAGATTGTCCAGCCAGCCAATCTTGTGCTCCAAGTAAGGCTTCTCCACATTGCCAATGGCGTACCAGATGCAGGCTAACCAATGGGCAATGAGGGCAAAGATGCACATGAGCAGCATGAGGACCGCAGCACCATACTCAGAGTAGCGGTCCAACTTCCTGGCTACACGCACCAATCGCAGGAGCCTAGCTGTCTTCAACAGGCCAATCAGAGTGGTGGTCTAAACAGAATGTACAGAAGGCAATTTGATTAGTAAGAACAGCACCAGCTTGAATGTTGAAGGGATAGTTGTTGGATGTTTTGAGCTGGGGTTGTATGAGGTACTTCTCCATAGTCAGTGTATTTACTGTAACTAACCTCGCCATGATAATTTAGTTACAGTAAAAGTGTACACCAGCAACCCCCATGTTCTACAATACACTGATTATGGATGATAACCTTATACATCAGCACCTCTTAACTATCCCTAACAACAATATTTGTACAGTATTACAATACATTAACATATATCTTATTAGGCACATCACCCTATCTATCAAAGCTGCATGCTCTGACATGTTCTCTCCATTAAAAACAAATCCAAAGCAGATACAGTACAAATCCAGAGAATCACTTCACAATCTGATGTAAGTAGGTTCCTTAACAATGAAAAAAAAGGACTCCATTGTGGCAACTCCCAACAGCCCTTTGGTCAAAGGCAAATGAACACAGGGACGTGAAGACACCAGCAGCCCACAGATAAATCCTCATTTATTCCACACCGAGCGGGCAGCAACACTCTCTCAGTGGCTCCCTGGGACTTTCCTGCCGCTTCCTTTGCATCAAGCAGGGTTTTAGCAACACTAACCACCATTCCCATTGGCATGGTCATTTATCTAACTGACAATTACTGAATGACCTTTGACGATGAAGTTAATGTGTGCACAGTGCACACTCTCCTTCCTAACTACTCGCTTAGTTTTGCCGTAAATCAAGATTTTCTTAAGACAAAGGAATCTCATTCCCCTAATGGAATTTCTATAGTTCTGCAGATTACTTGAAAAAAACAGACTCCTAAAAACTTCCTATAGCTTTTGACTTCGGCACAACTGAGCATCCCACCTGAATGGGTTTGAACAGTACATTATTTATAAAAGTAAGAAATGAACAGTAACAATGTTACTTCTGGTATTAACTAAACGCATAGCTCGCCATTTTAAACATTGTAAGGATAATTACTACAAAAAACATTTTAATTTCTAAAGTTCAAAGATAACAATTAGTTTCCCCCCAGAAAGTCCTTAATTTTTACGCTTATTTTGAGTAAAATAGAAAAAATAAATGTGTGTCCTTCTCAACTCATAATTTAAGAATGTTTCACTGCTTGGTTTACAAATATCACTGACCCAACAACTACTACAGAACAAATTATAATCAAAATCTTAAACATGAAATACTAAATACAAGACTCAAAGTATGGCCTTTCAAACCCTGCTTCAGTTAAACCTACAGTGACACTGCATTCTACAATGAAAGCGCAACAAAGTAACCATGTAGCGGTTTACATTTTGCATAAAGCAATTATTGTCCACTTTATTCTTACTAAAACAGCTTGAAATCACACTTTTGTTTTTAGATTTCTATCATAATCATTATAATTAACAAAAAAACTATGTGGTGCCGATTTTGCATAATGCTTCTCACAGAATGTTCATTGTTGTGGCAAGACCACAGTAATTTATTTTGAAAACTACAATACATTAATTAAAATCTATTTCAAAGAAATTTGCTTCTCAAATCAATTAGTTAACTTTTTTACAAACCGTTTTCTTATGTTGCATAATTCAATAAGCATTGTGAAAGCCATCTTGCACAGTTTACAAGAACATTGTGTCCTTTAGTTAAATGACACATATCTTGCTGGTAAGCTATGAAATATATGATGTCCTCTTAACAGACCTTTCACTTTAGTTAAAAGTGTTTAATACTAGTCACTGTTGCATTTACCAAGAAAAGTTATTTTATGTTTAACTTGCAACGTATCAAGCGGACGGGCCAGGACTGTTAAGTGATATGTTTGTTACACTGTCTTATGAGAGAAACAAACGTCCATTTTATTTTTGTTTTGTTGCCTTTCACTGGGCTGACTCAGCAGCATCTGCAAAAAAAAGATGATTATGGTTTATAATCAGGAGCTTTTCTGTTGTAATGGAGTCCCTACAAAGCATGATAAAGCACTGAAGTGGATCTAGAGCCTGAGAGGACCTATCAACAAACAAGCCAGCTGGCCTGGCAGCCAGTCTACCAATGGCCATCTCACATCTGCATATAAGCTGTGCACACACCCCTGTTGGCCTGCTCCTCATATAAATGCATCATTGATTGCCATTTGGTAAGCCATTAATCCTTGTAAATGGATTCTAGAATGAGGACCATTCAAAAGAAAAAAAGATAAAAACAAGTATGAAAAAACATGCAATTTAAAGTAATCCTTTCAGAGCCGAGGCAGAACGATTCAGGCTTAAAGTAGTGGGCACAAGTCTGGACTTAGTGAATGGGTAACTCTGTGAGCATGGCTGGGTTGATGGACAGAAAAGCTCCCTGGGAGAAAAAAAAAAACAGGTACAATATATGCATTAGCGATAACATACCTCATCTGATCCTGAGCCAAAGATAAGAAGGTCAAATGGGATTGCCGCCACCATGTCTATGAGGAACCAGCCTTTAAAATAATGGATTGCTATCTTAGCTGGATCACTGACCACCTCTTCGTTTATGTTTACGTAGGTGGTCCTGAAGTTTATGAGGATGTCGATGATAAACATGATGTCCACCATTAAATCCACCACGTTCAGAGGGCTGCAGGAGTATCCACATTCACGCCTCTTCTGCTCCTCCTGGTCATTGAGAAGGAAGGCAGCGGAGTAAGGAGTGAGGATGGCAGTGTAGATGACCAGCAGCAGGATCAGCCAGTCCCACACAGCTTTGAAGGGGCTGTAGTGAAGGATGGTGAACTTGTCAATGCGGGCTGTCTGGAGTTTGTACTCTGGCAGCACATCAGCTCCAAGTGACAGGACCTGGAGGAGGGGTAGGACAGGGTCAGAACAGGAAGGTGACCCCCCCTGATTATGCATGTTTACACTTCTTACACATGTATCTGCACAAAACATACACAACACCTCAGGGCTGCAACATCTGTCTGCTCTTTAAGTCCCTTTAAAAACTCACTTTTTTAGAATTGCTTTTATGTGGTTCTACTTTTAGTCTTCATTTATTCTCATTCTATGTATTTCTATTGTATTATTTGCTATGTTTTTGACTATGTATTCACATGTTTAGTTTCAGTTTTTTAATTAACTTTCTGTCGGTGGATTTGTATGTTAAAGCACTTTGTAAACTATGTTTTGAAAGGTAAATAAAGTGTATTATTATTATTATTACATTTACCTTACAGAACATGATAGTTGTGGGTCTACATTTGTCTGATTTAGATGGAAGATATTTTAAATAAACCGTACCCTTGAGCTTATATTGATTTCATAGGTGTTTAAAATATTTGTAGCTGTTGCCCAGGTCCACAGCAGTGCATTGCTCTGTTCTGTCTCTGGTACTTGCTGCTTCTCCAAACTGGGGGCAAGCTGACCTCCATCAACAGTAGGTAATACTCTGAGTATGGATAAGTACTTCTTAAGCCTGTGACTTACGTTTTTCATTGTCATTCACTGTAGCTATGACACATGACAATAAAGCCTTGAATCTTGAATCCCTATAAGCCAGTAAATGTCAAATTGTGAATGTCACAATATTAATGTGGATCAACATCTTAGATGACTGTGTTAAAAGAAAACGGTATTTTCTGACACCTGTTTTAAATGAAGTTGATAGTGTTTCTCTTTGTTGATCAAAGAAACCTTCAAGTACTTAATTCTTATGATAATTATTACCGAAGCCCACCAGCTTACAGACTTCAAGGACTGGTTTGACAGGAGCTAAGACACACAACTATAAGTGCTCTGCAGTCAAACAGTATTAAGTAAAGACAGCCACTCTAGTTTGACAAGTACATTTCAAAAGTCCCAGCACCATGAATAATCTGACTGTCACTGTCTTATTCCACATTTTCAAGAGTTCCACATCTGTATTCTTGGTAAAAAACTGTTAATAATTTAGTGAAGTGTTAGCTGATTAATATTCTTCTACATATAATGACACAAACTTTTCCCTGTGTAAATTAACTCTGGCTAGATAGATCAATTATTCAGTGTGCTTGGGAAGGCCAACATGTCCCCTGTTTTTGGCTTAATAAGCAGTGACAGACAAAGAGAGAGGGTTCTGTAATGGCAGAAAATAGTGCAAGGGTGAGGTTCAGGATGAGTGTGGCGGGTCCCTCTTTATATTTCAGCACATTCCCCTATCTTCAACACATGAATTATAGATGTTCTCATGATAGCAGTCAGGGAGTAGATGCAGTGTTCACATCTCAACGGTTTCTCTAAACTCAACACAAATGTCAGCAGGGAGGGGGAGCGTTTAATCATGATGATGGTTATTTTTCATTTATGAATGAGTGAGGTCTGTTGAAAGATTTTCAAATATAAGGTTTAGGCCTATGTATTTTTGTCTTTCTATTGAATACCCGGATGAAACATAGGCATCCAACAATCAAAATGATGGCACATTTTTGAACTATTAGCTTTCTTTGGCAACAGGGAGAAGAAGGTCAAATGTAGTGCAACTACACAGCCCTTGCCTCATCACAGAAAGTGTTGGTCCTGCTGCATTGTCCTTGAGCCAGAAACTGAATCCCCTCTGAATCCCTGCAGAAGGCTTGCAAGTGAAAAGATGAATTTCTTTTATAATGGATTAGTAGAATATCCTTCCTCTCCCTTTCCGAATCAATGACCCTTAGCTAATGTTAACGAGTATGAATTGTACCAAGCTTCCTCAATATTATCCAAACTCTCTCTACAATTAGGAATGCCCAATTACCCTTCACCCTTTTGCCCAATGTCTCTCCTCTACGGCTGACCTGGGTAAGCATTGGACAGACAAATGTAACCTACAGTAGGTGAACCTTTGAATCACCAGCTGCTTTTTATTTTTACCAGCCAGCAAGACATTTCCCCAAACGTATGTAGGAGCCAGTGCCATCACAGAAGCAAGGATTATTGATTATGATGGTGGGGGAACATTTTGACCATGGTTCAGTAGATACTGCAATATCAAAGAGAGTGGAACTTCCTGACTTACCTGTGTGACTTTCTCTGTGACATTGTGAGTTCTTTCTTTGACCTTTGGTGCTATGATGGTTGTCTCGGATGTTGGTGGAGAATGAGCCTTATTTTCAGTCCGCTCGTTGAAGTTCAGTGCAATCAGGGGGATCTTATGGATGGTGGTATACTTGTTGATGTTAGAATCAGAGGTAGAGCCAAGCAGGCTGGACTTCACATTATTAAAAGGGCCTGGGTGAACAAATAACAGTCACATTAGTCCCCTTGGTAAACATGGAAAGTTGACACTTCTTAGTTAAAACCCAAGCAATGGACGTGTGATAGGTTTGAAAATGAATGTCAGTCTGCTCACTCAAAGCTTAAGAATACAAAAGTTATATTTATATAAAAGGTATTGGAGTATGTCTTAGCAATCATTGATCTCACAAAGGGTTGCATGACTGATTTTAAACCTGATTCCTATGATTTTAGTATTAAAGTGACATATTTATAGTAGTACTATACTGTAGATTAAAAGATGTTCCGAGCTGTACATTAACAGCAAACCACACTTAAAAGAGTAGCATTGTTTTCTAGCATCAGTGGATAACGGAAATTCTACAGAGAAAGTTGGGCTATATTCCCTATAAATGGCAAATGCTATACGAGTACACTGTGGATATTGCACTTGGCTTTGAAATAGACCCACATATTAAGTGAGGTACTAGTTTTTTTCATTTAGAGACATTAGTTTTTCAATGTCACATATTCCTGAACAAAATATTCATAGGAATGTATGTGTGGCAACAGAGAGCTATTGAGTACAACATAAGTGGTTCTCTTACTGACATGATTATGGTAAATTGAAAGCTCCGCAATTTTTAAATTATTTTTTCAATATTTAATGTATACTTAATGGCTTGTGTAGCTTGAAACAATACCTAGTCAGCAGAACTAATACAAGCATAGATTCATGCCGTTTAATCTAATATCAACGATTTGTAAGCCCATGATGAGAGCACATAAAGTGTGAAGCTTATATGATCGCTTTATATGATTTTAAAGACCACTGATATGATAAAATCTCTCCGGTTGTTGAAGGGTACAATCATTTCGAATAATTGGGTCCGCTCAACCCATTCACCAAAAGAGGATCTGTGAAGAGCATTTATGCCGATTGCAATTCTTGAAAGTGGTAAAAAACAGAACTGAGCAATAAAACTGTTGGCAGAAATACAGGATTACCTCCAACATTTTCTAAAGGCAGTCTTTGAATAAAAGTATACACATTTAAGAAAAGCTGATAAAATCATAGATAAGAAAGGCAATTTAGACAAAACATACGCCTCTTAAATAACACATTTGTAGACCTACTCTGCAATCAATGTGTACATTGCCATGCTGACCCTAGTGTCACATAGTTGAGGTAACATTGGTCTGCATTCGAGGCTAACTCAAGCATAATGTAATGTAATGGCTGGGCCAGTGTGCTGCTGTACACTAATCGCAGATTGGAGCCATTCGTTTTCCTTACATACCTTCGCTGGTAGTACGATCCCCGAATATGCTTTTGGAATTGGAGCTGTAGGCCTCAATTTCATGGACAGATGAGGCTCGTCTCATGCTGTTAAAGCTGCCTCTGGGGAAGGTGTTTGACAGGGTGGTGGAGGACTGGTGCGGCTCCGTCTGGTACAGCTTCTCCCAGAGGAGTATGGGGGATGAATGGTCAATTGGTTCAGGCCCGACACTAGCCTGGGAAGAGTGGTGGCTTGAGCCTTTGAGGCCTTGTGTGTCATTGGTCTCAATGGGACTGCAGATGCTCTTGGTGGGTGAGGGGAAGCTCTGCAGGGCCATTGAGCCCTCATTCTCTTTGGGTTGGTCCACCATCACAGCATCAGGGTCCTCTTGCGGAAGTGATTGCTTGGTGTTCATTAAGCTCAAAGCAGCCTGGCGGAAGCGGAAGAATCTACTCCCTAAAAAGTGAGAACAAATTACGAGAAGGCTTGTTAATTGTTTAGAGTACAGCACTGAAAAACAAAGTCATCCGTGAGCCATATTTTTTACATAATGAATAAAGTAAAGTCATAATTGGATAAGAGTTTTTTGCTGAACAAATAAGTCCAAATTGGCTGTAGATAGGATCACACATCCACACATTTATGCATTAACATACACATAACCTCACAAGCACTTAATTTTCAGCCTCCTAGGAGAGAACTGTGACCAACAAAGGGTGGGGAAATGTTGTTGGCCGAGAGACAGAAGAAGTGACATATAGTATAAAGCTGCAGGTTACATTAGAAGCACATTTTTAGCTATTGCAAAGGTCATGAAAGTTAAACCAGAGGACAACCACACTCCTTTCTTTGACTTTAGGACAATCTATTATTATATAATTATACCTTGCCCTTAAAGTTCTGGCTAGAAGCCCTTTAAGCAACATTATTACTAAGAAAGTACATGGAGTCTCTAAGTTGAGAACGGCAGGTGCTGAAACATATCCCTTCATAAATAATCAAAATAAACACATTTTGGCTCTGATGGGACAAGTGTTGAAGCCTCAATGTACTTTAAAAAAAAGTAATAGTACAGGATGTCCGCACTGGATTTGCAGGAGTTATATATATTTTTTGTTTCTGCACTAAAGAAAGGTAACTGACGCTTCACATCTTTTTAAGAAGTGTTGAGCAGAAAAATACACAAATGTGTTAAAAGTTTGCCTTTTAAAGAAGATCATGGTTTTGCCATATTGTAACTTATCTTTTACAGCATGAGAAGGAGCAGATAGCACAATCGATGTATAATGCCTCATTAATTTGAGAGAGGAAACTAATGTTTCCACAGGAGCTACATCTTCAGAAAGGACACAGTAGCACATGTTAATGACCTCTTGGGACAGAGTGAAAGTTTTGACCCATTAACAATAGAAAAAAAGTGAAAGTGAACCCGGTCTCACTCACGAGACACCCATCCCTCAGCAGCCTCCTTAGATAACAACATTGCCATCTGTTTCCATTCCCTGGCCAAATGTGCTAATGTTACAACTATAGCAAAACAAAGCAAAAGAGCAATGACACTCAACAAGTTTCCCGGAGAGTAACATAACGGCATGCTGAGCCGGCAGGAGATAAGGAGGACAACCTTCCTGTCTCTTCTTTGCAGGGAGACTGTGACATCTAAAGCTACTAGGTCCATAAATTATCCATTCATATTTTAGAACATACCTTTCTCTGGAAAACTGACATTCCAATTAGCCTCTTCTAAAATATTCATATAGGTGCCTCTTATTGTAGTTTTATATATAGCAAGGCTGCAGAGTCTTATTATTACAATTTGGGTTTACGGTCATTAGAGTGGAGTGCAGGTGTTTGCATTAGTCTGTTGCTAGGTTTAAATGGGATGCTGTGTTAATTGGACAATCCATCTGCTGTACGAGTGGAACAACTGCTCTGTCTCTCCCCTTTGTGTGTGGCCCTGGAGATGTTACTACACCTTGCTGCTATTTTGACAAAAGCCTTTTGAAGCTTTCCTGAAAAAATCTTATCAGCAGTTTACAGTGCTCTGCCAAAATCTCCTGTGAGGTGTTTTCAAACCAATTCACACCTGATTTGAAAGGACTCTGAGGACTAGCACATAACAGGCCACACGCCAATTGATCCTAACAACTCACATGCCGACATTTCCTTTAAGTGGTAAGAGGTTTACATATTTGGGACCCCCTACTGATTACATTCCTAGGTTAATTGCGAAAATGTCCTAAAACAGCATGTGATTTAACCTCTAAATACCCTATTATCGGAAATGATTGAGAATCTCTTATAAGGTTTGATTTTTCCTAATACTGTGGGGGACATGTCAACCTGTCTTTCCCAAAATACATGTTTATTCTTGTTATTGGGACAGCTTGCGGCTGAGAATCAGCATCTCCAAGGCCATTGTTTTCTGCTGGAAAACATTGGATTGTGCCTTTTGAGCTTTGAGTGAGAATGCTTCTTCACGTGAACAAATTGAACTCTCTCAAGGTCTTGTTCACAAGTGAAGGAAAGATTGAGCGCAAGATTAACAAGGCGATCGATGCGACATTAGCAGTGACAGTCTTTTGTGGTGAGAAAAGGGAGGCAAGCCTGAAAGCGCAGCTCATGATTTATCAGTGGATTTTTGTTCCAGACATCAGCCATGCTAATGAAATGTGGGTAGAAGAGAAGCAGCAGCAACAGTGTGTCCATGCTTTTAAAGATGGATGAGGAGCTACATCGTTTAGAAAGAGTAGAAGTGGACTTTATTATTGAAAGGAATTTAGCTGGACTGGGCCTCTATTTCAAAAGTGTATAGCTTATAAAGCTGTTGATTGAACAGAAGTCCCTGTGCACTGAACAGTGTATCTTTCTGCCCAGTAGTGTGTAAGTATTGTTTCTGGTTTGGGGCCTTGAAGGCATGTGGAAGTTGCTGAGTGTTGTGTTCTAAATTGCAGCTCAGGGAAAGAGGGATTACTCTCTTCCAGGCTCAATATTGGGCTAGTTGACACCTCCAGTTTTATTGCCTGCTGTCAACAGCACCACATAATAAGCTCCCCAATGTACAAAAATCACTTTTCATAGGCTGCTTCACCAAGTGTATGGTTGGGCTATACAGTATGGGCATTTTCTGGCTATTTTCATACACATCTAAAGAAATGTTGTGGTGTGGAGAAAAGGCATTGTATGCAGATAATACCCTGGTGATATCTAAAGGCTGCTCGAAGACAAAGACAACAGTTAGGTCATACTTCAAGTGTAAAGTGTACAAGAAGTCAAGACTCCTTCTAATCAGAAGTTACATCACATGTTTGTCTACGCCAGCTACCCACAGGTCTCCTCGCCGTAGCACGGTCACAAGCAATCAACTCTGATTAGCAATGTTAGCAACAGACAGAGACACACACTCACACATAGGCATTCACACACATGCATGCACGCAACACACACACGTCTGAATGCATACACGCACATACACGCAAACACACAGTACAGCACAAGCAGAATGCCAGAGCTCTGGAGGAATTCATGCTGAGTGAAGTGGATAGCTGAGCTCCGGTCAGAGAAGGGATGCTGAGTGCCTACAATCAGGGAGGGGCTGGAATGTCTCACTGACATTTACACCTACTGATACAAATCCAAATAAAAAAATAAGGGAGCTGTATATTCTGCTCTGCGGAAATACATAGAACAGCTATAACAATTAGGAATGCAACATTTCAACAAGTGAAGGGTTCGTAAGCAGATCGCTGCATGTTATCATTGTACACGTATACTGCAATGTACTGAGCACTAAATAATGCATACTGCTGGAATAATAGAAGTTTGAAGGTTATACTGAGCATCTCAGGGGAGTGAATAGATCGTATTGAGTGCTTAATTTGGGTCTAATAGCCTAATATGTATAATATGTAAAGGGTAGGTCGATTGCATCCCTCTTATGCAACTTTAATTGGTTGTTTACGAATGGTGTTATCTCAGAAAAGGTGCACAGGTTTTATTGGTAAGAAAAAAAGAGAGAAATTGTTACACATCAATGAAAGATGCATGCCATGCAAACTTCACATTCTGATTTATTATTGCCTACGTCAAGAGAGAAGGATTTCCCCTGACTTTACTGGTGCGGGTTAAACATTTAATTCCAATTCAGAAAAATACCTACCTTACCAACAAAGTACAAAATACCCTCATTTGTGTAGCAGTAAAGAAGGAACAGTATATCAAGTACTCACTTTGATCAGACTTTGAAGGGGATGTTGGGCTTATCTTCTCTGTGGAGTTGTCACTTTCCTCCTCCACGCCATATTCAAAATTTAGGATAAACATCATCACCAGGCCTTCCTCATTTCTCACTGGGATTACGTGAATATTACACTGAAAGTCGGATCCTGAGAGAGAAACAAAGAGTCATACATTAACTTTCCCTCTGTCTTCTGCAAGTGTACAAGGTCCCAACATAGATCCCAAAACAATTATGCCAAAAAGAAATTTAACAGATACTATCACAATCAGGCTTTTATTACGAATGGAAATTAAATGTGACCGCCTCCCTCTGGTTTCACATGAACGTCGGGAAAAGAGAGGAGAGGTTCATCCGATTTGAAGGTCAATGTCAGAGCAAATGAAATAGAGAGAGCGATAACATAAGTAAGCCAAAACAAAGTGTATGTGCGTGTGTTCATGTGTGCTGAATGCCCCATATAGATGCACTTTTAAGTATTTAAGAATCAAAATTAAGCTTAGCAGGGGACAGATATGATGCAAGAGCCACAGTATGGTGCAGACAGCAGGATTTAGTAGAATAGATCAAACAGGCAGCACAGATTACAGCCAATTTAGAGGATTGCAGTGTGCTCTTAGGAACAATCAGAAGAAGAACTGAGCAACTGAGCATCGTGTGAGGCTTTGAAGCGGAAAACAATCCACGATCTAAACTTAGTCTGAAGCCGAGAATATCCCAATTTTTCAGCTGAACTGGTTATAGCTGTGTTAGTGGAAGCAATTGATGCCTGGGGGTGCAACTGCCCACCAATAAAACTTGCCACTCACTGGACCTTAAGCTACACCCAAATAGCTGTACAGCAAGGGGAGCATACAATGCAGGCACTATCTCTGGTACAGGAGAAAGCTTTATTGGAATTCCTTACATTTTTATGTTATATTCAAAAGCAGTAACATCCTTTTATTAGGGAATACATTAAATGCTTTGTGTTGCCTGACCTATAACATCACAGTGTCTAGTAGTAACTGACACTTTGCCTATCTATGTAGGTCTGTCTGTCTTTCAGTCCGGCTTGTTGTTTTTGCTCCTATAGCCACAGAGGACACATATTACCAGTGTTCAGTGTAATCTCCGCAGGGCTCACAGACACCCTGCCAGCAGCATTCATTAGCAGTAGACTTGCTGTCCGACTAAATATAACAAGCTCCGCCGGCCCCGACATGCCAAAGTTCTGTTGTAAGGATTTACATCAAAACTCACAGAAATGATTATTGATTGTCACCAATGACAATATGATAATGTAGTTTCAATACAATAAAAAAACATAAAACATTGGGACCTAATTTGAAAATGCAATGTCTCAATGGTAGCATTTGAATGAAAGGATATATATATAGCACTGCATGTGTGTGTGTGTGTGTGTGTGTGTGTGTGTGTGTGTGTGTGTGTGTGTGTGTGTGTGTGTGTGTGTGTGTGTGTGTGTGTGTGCTGTATGTGTATAATAAGACCTGCGGATGTGCACTCCACACCCATCTTGTCTCGTGTCAGGTCTGCCTGGTTATGTTGTAAAGTAGAAGAGCGGTGCTTTGAGAGCTGGATAACTGCATGTCCTTAGACAGAAAATCCCTTTTTTTCATAAAAAGCCATTTTGATGCATTACCTAGAAATCGGTCACTTAAATCTTCATTGTCCATTCCCTAAAAAGGAGCATTTCAGGTTTGACTTTGATCAGTTTGATGTAACAGAATGCTTATTGTTCAGAGTGAGAATGTTATTCAGTATCAACCTTTAATTTTCTGATAAATCCTGAAGGAATTAATCTCGTCAGTGATAAATCCTCATAATCTTCCATCTAAAATTGTGTGCTCATTGGTGTGTTTTTTCTGGGCATCTTTCCCTTTTTTCAAAATTGGACTATTGAGATGCAAAAAAGAATCCTGGAATGGATTCAGTTCACTTTTAAGCATGACACATTTATAATTATAAAATAATAATTGTAAGATCTAACCACATATTTTTATAAATTACATTTTACCCAACACTCATGTGGTTGTTAACATTATGAGAAAGATATACATGTATCCAATTACATTGAGACCTTTCTACTGAAACTGAGTCACTCAAGAATAGACAACTTAATGACTAATTAAAATATATTTCTATATTAGTAAACATTTGGAAATGTTAAGTTTCCCTGTCTGATTGAATCAATAGTCTCACTATAGAGCAAGGCAGTGATGAGTTATGTGTACTGTACAATTAGAACACAAAATGGTAACATTCCTCCTCATTATATTGCTTAGGCACGCATCTTAATTTGGCTCTCTGTCAGTGGTTTCCTAAGTTTTCTGATTAGAGCAATAACGCCTGCATTAAATATGAATTGAAATGCTCACTGAATGCAGCTGTGAGCAAATAAAACTTGCTAACAACATTAGGGGTTTCTTGCTACATGATTGCATGCTTACTTGCAAACATATTCATTATCTTAAGTATATTCTTTTACAGCATATTCTTGCGTCTTATAGCTTTGTGATGTAACTACATTATCAGCCGACATTATATATTTACAAAAGAATGCAAATGTGGATGAAATGCTATAAATAATATAAAGTGAATTGCTCTAAAATAACTGGAAAAATGAAAAAACATGGAATAGTTATATAAGTTGATAACAACAGGGACATATAGCAGCAAGCCAAGACTGTAAATTCAGCAGAAATATTTCTGGGCGGGAGTTTATCTTACCAGATGGGAAAACAATGGTCACGCTTAAAGGCTAAGCCATGGGGGTCTCCTCTCATCTGGTCTCCTGCTAAATGCCACCTCTACCAAAATGGATCAAAGGAAAGCCTCATCATAACCGCTATGTTAAATCAGCAGAGACTGTGCAGCTCTATATCTATGGCGCTTTTCTTCCCTCAAATCAGTGGCAGAAAGCCATGTGATCCGCAGAGCTACACATGACCTTAAGAAAGATGGCCTAGGCCATTGATTGGGAACAACTGTGTTATTCATCTTCTTTTAGACTTCCAATAAATCCCAACAAATGCCAACAAGAGCCTACTGATATGATTTTTCGGGGGGGGAATGTTATATACGCAAAGCATTGGATTAATATGTTTCCTATTTGTATTACCCTTATTCTAAAACCCATTCAGATTATCCAATAGAAACACTGAGATCCACAGCATCCCATGATTTATGTGTAGTTAAAATAGTGTTATTGACATGAATATTAAGGTTTATACTATGAGCCTAAACCAAATGTGATATAATATCCAAACTTTCCATTGCATGTCAACATAAAATCATAGGATGCTACAGATATGTGAGAAAACCCCAGATAATAACATTAGATCTGTTATGTCAGCCCTTGTTGAGGGACTAGCAGCCTTGGCAGACAACTTCTCAGCTGCAGCGCCATGATAAATAAAACTATCAGACAGTTTTATTAAGAATCTATGGTCTTCCCAGATTAATTGGGAAATACTATTTGTTCTTTAATAGGACCAATTTAACATTTGTGATACTAATGCGTGTCACACGTCATCGTGCAGATACAGAATGAAAGCCTCAGGAAAATGTTTTTTCCTGTAAAAAACAAAACCATATTGGTTTGGCTAAACCACTTCACACTCCAATAGTGAAATAAGCTATGTTTACTAATGAGAATGACAACAAAATGTACTGGAAAAATAAAGCATTAAAAGGGAATACACTTAGTGTTTCCTTACTGTATGTTTCATTTTCTATGACATGAATCACAGTATATTTTAAACTCAGCCATGTTACCGATTGTCACAATCACGTTTGCATGAATGTTGTTATTTTAAGCTTTGATACCATCTGGTATCACCCTCAGTTTGATAATTTGACTTAAGGTCCTGCAGCATGTCTCTTATCTTAACACTTCAGTATGCTTAAAGTTATTTTTTCATCATCAAACAGCATCTGAATTCTGTTTTCGCCTGCAAGGAGAGGCTCCCAGTAACTTATTTGTACTATTCATTATTATGTCTTGCTCTTAATTATGGTGGCAAGCTTTCATCCCACTTTGAAGTTCAGCTTTTCTGAACACTTTTGTCTTTAGACACAGTCGGATATCTGTAGAGAAAAGCAACCCGCCTTTATAATGCCATCTTTTGACAATGCATATATTTATTAACAGAATATCAAGACAGCAATTATTTCAACAGCACTATTGTTCACACCGGGAAAATTGGGTACTCTTGTGGGAAATTAGAAAACAAAGCCTAAGTGCCATAAAGAGACGCATAGCAAATTAAGAAAAACACAAACAGCTGAAATGCTAAATGTTTCTCTTAATTGGCTTATTGTTTATTTGCAGCACTTTATTTGCCTTAATGTGATACTCAAACTACCACATAGATATATCCGCTACTACTGCATGTAATCATGCATCTTTAAGACATGATATAGTTGTACCACCACAACTCTGTTTGACCTGTGAGTCGTCATTGTAACAGTGTCCAGAGGATCACTTGGTTAAGCAGCAATGTTTTAATAATTGATGATGGAAATAGAATCTTCAGTAATGACATTTATATCATGAAAAGGGAGCTAATATTAATACACAGTCCCTTCGTTCAAAACAGGTGTAAATAAAATGTCTTGGCTTGTTGAGAAACACTCTACGTAGAAGGTCAGGGAAATAATAGACACTCACTGATAAACACTGCTCTACTGTCACTGATGTTAACCATGTCCGGCAGCTAAGGTCATGTTTGGAACGTATTGCATTTCAGATTTTTCATTTAGCTTGGATAGCACGAGTACTAAATGGTCAGCTATACATTATTATTTCATTTCATTTTAATGTGTTCCATTCATGGTATGCACAACTTCATTTATAATAATTGTTAACATAACATGCCTCTGTAAACATACCATTGACCGAAAAGGAGCAGGGAGAAGGAAATAATCTTATATTACCTGCAACTTTTATAAATCTTATTTAAAAACAAATCTAATATGCGTCCAGCCATTCCATCGATGTATTGATGCTTGATATTAATCAGCATGAGCCGATCTCCTCTAGGGAGGAACATGAGTACTATTTTTGTGCGCGGTTTTTGTATCTTTCTACAGATGTACTATCAACAAATGGAGCTTTTAAAAAGTACAACCCCAGACTACTTACTGCCTGGTAGTAATTCCTGTATAATGAAATCTGACATATTTCTTGTTCAGGGCTATTCAGCTTAAGCCAATACACAGGGTTATTGGGGCATAGCCAATTGGTATAGAGCATGTAGGGAGAGGCCATGCAAGCTAACCCTTTGTTTAGAGTCCTTAGGCCTTGTGGCAACATCTCGCCTCAGAAAGAGTGCTGTAAGCTACACAGCATGGCCTCATTTCATTTTAAATCAGTGTCTCAGAGCAATCACGGATAACTAGCAGCTATTTCTCAAACTTCATTTCATCTGTGTTTACATTTATCAATTCATAATATTGTGCTCCATGATCTTTGATTCTGTTTAATTTGGCGCAAAAGTTGGCACATTGGATGCAATAGACTGGACAAAATGTAAGTTAGCATACAGTGATTGATTAAGAGGAAAACACAGATGGTATGGAGAGGAATATTAGATTAACACCTCCAGTATAAGCATGCCATGAGATAAAAATAGCCAGAGGATGAACATTGCTGTGCAAATTTCAATTCCAAAGCGAAGTTGGACCTGTAATTTTCTGGTGTTCAAAGCTCCATCTGCTCCTCCTCGCTACCAATAAAATTGTTTGACATCGTAATTAAGGCTACGGTAGCAAACCCTCCAATTAAAAATAAATATGCAAATGAATCTATAATGAATGCTATATTCATGCTCTAGTAAATGAGCTTAAGTTACAGCGTGTTATCCGCACTTTCACTTGCACAGAGAATGAAAGCCCCACTGGGCTGATTTTAATTTGTTACATTTAACTGGACAAGCTGATTTCAATCTAACAAATGAAACCTGAGGAGGAATGCTCTGTTTGTGTTTCACCTCGATGATGACAAATAGATGTGCTCTTTGGGAGCGTGGCCATCCAAGCGTCCTGCAGCATGCCTCGTGCAGCGTAAGGCACCCCTGCCACTAAACCCACAGCAGGGGTACACGGCCCTTCAGTCCCCTCGGTGGGGAGTCACCTATGAAACCCTGCACCCACGCATACCACATGTCCCAGATCATTCAGCATGGGTTAGCTGAGCTGCCACTGTTATGCAGCCATTATCCATTTAACTTCTCTCTGCACGGTGTCAGCTTCCTTTTGTTAAGACTCATTCAGGTACAAAGTATTATTACACCCTGTGGAATAGGATAGCTTTAGAAAGCCTTCCAGGGAAAGCATTTATCTCATTGATTATGTATCATCGCTGGTTGAAGACTGCGCCTGTGGTATCTTCTCTCACAACCCGTCTTGGTAGTGAGCATAGAGGAGAACACAAACATGAAACGAAAGTGCCCTCATGCTAAAGGCCTCTGCCACTGTCCCAATTGTTCCACTACTTTTAATGTCCGAGCATACGCATAAGCAGCTTAACTTTTTGCCTTTTTAGTGAAACAAGCCAAAGCTTTGTTGCTCCTGATGTCGCCCAGCTTCCTTAAATCCTAGCCTTACTTTTTTTTGGTTTTCCACTGTTGTTATTGCTGGGAGATGAAAAACAAAATACTCTATGACGCAACACAATCCCTCAAAAAAGGGGCATGTAAGGCATGTCCACAGATTTTCAAACTTCATCATTCATACTGGAATAAATAGAACGAGCCAATATCGGAAACATGTCGTAGCTGGTGTATTTGAACCTGTCTGCATTATTTTGTATATACAGTAGGTGCATGGAAATGGACATGGTTTAATACAATGGATTAAGTGATCTGCACGTGAGAGCACAAAGATTGTGTCCCTCCTTACTAGTTTAATGCATTTACCCTGTAAGCTGCTCATTCCCAGTCCCTGCACTGTCAGCCCTGACATCTTTATTCATAAGCACACATGCTCACTGTAAATTCCTCCGAGGAGAATTAGGAGTTGTGTCTTGAAGCTGGGATTCACACCAGGGAGGATTGAGAAGACATATAGAGCAATGATTATGTCAGAAGGTTTCAGTAGCTCATCCGCCATGCTTTAAACATTACAGAAACATTATGTTTTTAGGGGTACAGCATATGTGTGCAAGATTGGAGAATCAATTAAGTATTAAAACCCTACTCGTCAAAAAGCAAGCTGTTCAAGCTCTCACAAACAGACCCTGGAGTGTTTTATGTAATTGTCTTTCAGGTTGAAACAATCTATTTTAGCAGTGTAGCAGCTGGCTCTTGGTTTCTTCCTGATGAGCATAAAAAACAAAAACAAAAATAGTAAATGCCAATGGCTGCTGATGGTAGATTAAACATGTATCCATGGCCTAGAATGTAATCAAACTCGCAATTAAAAATTAAAGACATGGCTACTTATGATTAAATAAAATATTATGTGTCATATTTTCCATCTTCTCCTCCTCATATAGATTATGTATGTACTGGAAGTAATTACAAGGTAAAGAATCCGAGCTAACAATATCACGCACACACACAGAAACGCTGGCTCTGTTGGTGCAAACAAAGGCACATAAGAAATGCATCTTCTTATTGTGTTGCTTTCTAAGAGTTTAACCTTGTTATTGACTCTGTACAGGTCACGCAGACCATAACAAGTCCATGTGAGTGTATGGCAGGAAGTGGTCAATCCAAGGATTTAATCTCCTGAGAGGTCACATGGTATTTATTTTCTGTGACACAGGTTTGCTCTGCGGTGAACTATTCATACTGGGTATGAAAATCACAACGTGGCTAAATACATCATGGACTCTCAAATTCACACCGAGTGTTCTTGATTTGGGAAGTGTAAAGCAGATGTATTTTTGGTAAAGCCAGAAGACATTGCAGACTTTACAGATCAGCAAGCTCTCACTTTGTCCATCAAAGCAACTGTGGATAATGTTATCTCCTGACTTCACACCTAATGCGCCATACTAATTCTAAGTTTGTGAGATGCACCGCATCATTTTGGCAGCCAGACTTTTAGTGCGTCATCCAGGCACATGAGGCTTTGAATCATGGCACTTTCCAAAAACGTCATAATTCTACCACTGTGTTTAAAACATCTTCACATGGAGGAGTCTGTCATACATCTACTGTAGTGCATACAATTATAATGCAATTATCAAACCTCGTGTCATATCTTTGTTTGGATATTGTTTTTGTTCTGCTTTACAAGGTGTCTCTTCTGAAATATCTATTCATAACTCTGGTGATGTATGAGTAAGAAGAAAGTGATGTGTAGCTGTTTATTAAGTACCTAAATAGCTTAATAAACAAACACTTACTAAAAGGAGTTACTTTGACTACCCTCATCTTATTTCTCCATCAGGGATCATGTCTGAATGTGAAACACATGTTGCTACTGACTGTAGCTGGTTGGTGACAGACTTACAGTCTGTCACCACAGTGAACATAGAGAGGATCTGCAGGAGGTGCTTCCTCAGAGCAACGCATTACAAAGGACCCCTCTCGTATTTGGGCATGGTGCTTTCGTGCCAAGTCAGTGACTTACCATCCTTGCGGTAGTAGGTTATATCCACCTTGCGCTCCTCTGAGCCAAACACAGCCTGGGCCACCTGGCTGATGGCCTCTTTCTCTGTCAGGTTGCCATGCATGAAGTCGCAGGTGCATGGTTTCTGCATGATGTCCGGTCGAGAGAAGCCTGTCATCTCACAGAAGCCGTCGTTGCAGTATATGATTGCACAGTTTTCCACCCTGGCGTTGGCTATGACAAATTTCCGGTCTGCATGGGAAAAGAAAAAGTATGCATTGTGTTCTACCTGCTGTGATAGCCTACATTACAGCCTTCAGTGTTCTCAGTTCACAAATAAAACCAATCAGCAATGACGTTGATAAAGTTCACTGAAACTGCATAGAGAAATAATCAACTGTTAATTTTGTTAAGCAAACCTTATTTAATAAAAAAACAAATAAACAGCCAATGTCTTTCTTTTTGTTTTCTCATTAAGTCTTTCCATAGATTCTTTTTTTGCAAACATGTTTTATTTACTTTTTAATGGGACGATCAAACCACAAAATGAATGTAATTCTTCGAGCCTAAAGTAGTTGTGTCATTTACTACGTAGTCTCTTATCAGGTAACAACAATTGTAAATTAAGAAGATACTTACTCTCTCCCTCGAATTTCCGAATAATCATTCCAAGGAATGTATTTTGTGGCGCAACGTGTCCTCTTCTGACAGGCATGTTTACACACAGATTATCCTACGATCTCCAGAAAGAAAAAGCGCCTTTACAAGTAAATCCCGAAGTTACTGATGTTGGCTCTGTGTGATGTTCCCTTGTCCACAGACCATACTCGACGCGAGCTCTCTCTCCACTTAAAATGACCTTCCCACTTCGCCGAGTTCTTTAGCCCACTTGTCTGCCTGGGCATGTGAATTCATGCCTCCTCACCGAAACGCACGGAATCGGGGAGGATTGCTCTTGTTAGATTCAGTTCGCAAAGCATTTCGCGTAGCTGGATGCGATCCTGACGTCCTCTGTGGCAGTGTGTTGTGTGCTTCCAGCGGGCAGTGGTTGATTTGCCGAGGGGAGTGACGTTGTTCCCATGGGATTTAGAACCCTTCCCTCCACCTCGGGTAAGGAATAAATCCATGCCTCGTGCACAGATTGAGCATTATGAGAATATGCGTTTATTGGGAATGTTATGCCTTTCAATATACTGGCCTGCACGACACAACACGAAGGGTACATTTTCAGCATTCTTGGTAAAGAGTGATACAATAAAAGCTGTTAGGCTTTCTTGGGGTTTATGTTCGAAACACAGATTATCCTGTTACCTAGTAGGCTATAGGCTACATTTGATATTTATACATGATTCAGCATTTTAATTTAGCACGTGTTGAAACTCGTTTGGACCTGCAATGTTAAGGGCCAAATATAGCCTACTATAATACTAAAGAAGGGAAACATTTTCCTTCAATTCTACTTATTCAGTAACTGTTCCGAGTAGATTGTGCTTAGATTGTCCTCATAATAAATCAGTTCCTCTTTCATCCTGGCAATGCATTCTACGTATCTTCTCAATTTCTTGGAAATGTTGAACTATTCTTGCACAGCTCACTATTTATCCAATTACAAAAAATACATGCAATGACAATTCATGGTTATACCACATGTTATATGCTATTTCTCCATCATCAGCAGTTACATTCATTCACCTGGGCAGCCACTGCTTCAAATCTGCTATTGGTGGATTTTGTTACCCATAGCTGGTTACATCCAAATTTAGCTGTACTCCAAAGTCAGTTTTGTTACACCTATAAGGCGCACAGATTACTAAATTACACTTGACCAGTTATTATTCCATGATATTTGATTATGTGAATATTGATCTTCTTGACCACATTGAGCTTGACCCAAGCTATAACCAAAGCAAAGGTCTGTTAAGTGATATTACCTGAAAACCTCACCTGCTCAGGTGTTTGACTGCCAGGAGCTGTCCATGGAGGAGGAGGATGATAAATCAGGTTACAATCGGAATCCTTATTCAATTCACATTCGTCACAAAAACGTTCTTGTATTTCTTTCTTTTTGCATTTTACAAAGACACCATTTTGGGTTCCATTATGTGGCAAAAACTCAATTAACGTTTCTGAACATGTGTACTGGAATCAACTGCCCACAGTGTTATACTGTATGTTGAGTGAAATATGCAGGACCAGCAGCTACTCTTAAGCAATCAGCTGTTTAATGGTAGAAATATAAATAAATATTGGTTACAGAAAGGAAGTGCTATACCTGATGTTTAATGAAGGACTCAGAATGTTATTGTGACTCTACCTGTAATAATGTTTGTAAGGAATCCACTCAGCCATTGTATGAATGAATTAGCACTTACACCCACACTTTGCAGGTTACTGTTAAGGGCCTACTCAACACAACTTTATTATACATCACCAGCACCTTTTATAAAACAAACATAATGCCCACAATCTTTGGACCAGAAAAGTGTTTTATACTGCAATATTTAAACATGTTAAATTAAAACAAACAAACAACAATTTACCTTTTTTTTGGGACACGTTTGGGAGTTTTCAGGAATGGTTGGACAGTTATTTGGATTTAACTAGGGAAAATCTTTCCATGAAAGTCAGCAAGTGTATTTGAATAAGACGCTGTCCATGGTCCTGCAGTTTTACTCTCTGAAAGCTGTGGAGAAGCTGGTATACTACACTCACTTTTAAGAATGGGTTAATGTAAACTAATTAAATAAAAGGTTAGATAATATGTGAAGACAACAGCCAGGTGGTGTACGCATTCAAATGTATGTGTTATGCAGAACCTCACTTAAAGTCTTGTAACATCTGCTCCAATTTTCAGCTCGAGCTCATCACCCATATAGCCAATTGAGACCTAGAAAACTCATAGGAAGAAACAGACGTGTACAAACATGACCATATCTAGGGTCATTGCCAGAGATCCTACATAGTTTATTAATATTAAGAGGACTTGTGTATTTCATTGTTATTACCACCCCATATGTGATTCATTGTTTTTGTATTATAATCTATCTGGTAGGAAATATTTTCATGTATTGTTTAAAAAAACAGTGATGTTCAAGGCTTATAAATAGGCTGGTGTGATATTTACTAGTTCCTAGTTTGTGTAGAGCTGCATATGTGCGTTTTACAGGGGAGGGATTTCTGCTGTTTTTCCATCAGGTTTTTTTGGCCTACATTTAGAAGCCTGGGGCATAAACCTGTGGCAGTCTGTCTTGTTTTGAACTTCACTGGTAATCTTTCAAACTCAGCTTGGAAAAGGATTTTTTTTGCAAGTAACATACATGCAAGATAATCTTTAGTTTTATCCTCCTGTACCCTTAAAAACAGAGCTCCCCGGGCCAGAGTCTGCTGTATTTTATCAAATCACTGTTGCGTTAGGCCAATTTGCAGCTCCTATCCATTACTCATGACACAGCTTCAATTGAACCTTTTGGAGGGCTCTCATTACTCACTGGCAATTAGGTTAGAAACTCATGACTTGTTTGTTTACTGTTGTTTGTTTAGCTTAGCATTTTAGGATGACAATTCATTTGATTGATTTATCCATTTTAGGACCTGAAGTCCAAACTATTACTTACAGCAGAGCATTATGACTGATGTGAGGAATATCATTGTTCTGGGTATTTCACTTGTAAAAACAAAATGAATGTATTCTGGCATATATACTGACTGGTGAAGAGAAGGGTAGCACTGGGTGGGTGAGAGGTGATGCTTAGTGAGGGCTGCACACAAGGGAAAACAATATCCCATAGAGAGCTGTGTGCCCTTGGGTAATGGAACGTTGTTGTGTACTACTCCAGCATGCTCGCTCAGCTCACAATGCATCTGCATCATGTGAACAGCAATTCTATTCTGACAGGATTCTTTTTCCATCTATAATTGCTAAAATGGGCACAAAAGTGTTTGAAATAGAAGGGCTTAATTGTCATATCATTGTCTGCTACAGCGTAATTGTTTGCAATGAAAATCTTAAGTCTGTGGCTTCTCCAACAATGCAACATACTTAGACACAAAATAAATAAAATAGTACAATAAAAGAGTGCAGTAGTTCAGTAAAAAAAATGCTTACTTAATGCGCAAGTGAAACACAGGAATAAGTAAAAAATATATAGATGTTAAATAAAATAAAAAATCAGTATACAAAATAAAACACTGTATACTGTATAGTTATAATATATATATATATGAGATATAAACAGATATGTGTGTGAGACACATAACCCAGGTTTGAACTTTATCTCTTTAATCCATTTCTTTAAGCATCATATGTTCCAGATGTTGTGGGGTTTGCACGTGTTATATACTGTGTGATGTCATGTTTAAAACCCTATATGAAATGACTGGTTTGCAATTTACAGTAAAGAGGATAGAAGTTGGGATCAGCGCTCTGATGAGCAGCACTCCACTCAGCTACGGGAAATGAAATTAAGTGAGTAAAACCCCAAACCAGTTACCAGGGAGGTTTTAACATGTTGATGTTCAGAGAGTTTACGCTGATGAGCATAATGCTGGACCTTTTCTCTTCCAATAGAGCAACTCAATTAATGCATGAAATCTTCCATCAAAAACAGGTAGGGCTGTCTGTGACGGTGTATGATGAGCTTCATCACTCTGTGGCTCCTGGACTGCTGATTGGTCTGCCAGGTTACAATAGTTGCCGCTTTGAGTGATTTCAGAAAAGAGACAGTGCCTTAGTGAAGAAGAAGCACCGCATTTCAAACCTACTTGCCAGAAAACATCCATCATTTTACAGTAGGAACAAAGCGAATCTCCCTATTCAATGCCGAGCTCATCTATGTGGAAGGGAAACTTGGAAACAATTTCTGCATCAAGATCATCCTCGTGACATATTATGTAACATTCCTAAATAGTCAGTGACACTGTAAATAAATCATGGGATATTTGCTTTTGAGTAAATGTACAGCTTCCAAGGGTTCCAGCACTAAGACTTTCTTACTGTTCGGTTGTTTTGAAATAATGCTGCCACCTATTCATTCAACCATTCATTCATTCCACTTAATCTCTGAGAATTTAGAGCAATCTGAAAATCAGCAGTCGGCACAGCAGCATCACTGTCCAGATCCTAATCCAGGCCTCACGCAGTAGTCTGTCTCTCCGCCTCCCTCTTTCTCTCACCACTTCTACTCTCTCTACATTGTAGCCCTTACACATACACCCATATAGAGCACGGGTGCAGAGCTTACTCATTGTCCATACAAACCATTACAGCCTTGTTTGCAAGAATAATCCATTACTCCAAAATGCTTTTGCTGCTTTGCCTTAACCCATATGCCACTGCACACATTCTCCCCTCCATCTGCCCTGAATGAGAGTAAAAAACGGGCTTAGTACATCACTTCACAATATCATTTAATCTGCCAGAGGTGGGTGCTTTGCCCCTTAGGCAGTATTGAAAATGTTAGACCCGTCATAAAGGGTGAAAAGTGTGCTTAAGCAAAGGGCTTCTCAACATTACATGTAAAGCGCTTGATTGAAAAACCAACAGTAATTTCCTCCCAGTAACTTGGGCTCAACAAATGTTTTTAACCACCCTGTATCACGTTTCCATGAATGTGCAGGGTCAGGATCACTGCAGCATCTGTCCCCTGCCTCACCACTGTAAGGTGAACTGCTTGGCCCCTTGTGAGTGCAATTGCAGTCTTGGCAGAAGCACTATGTTGCCCCCTACAAATGGGCTACAAAGTCATCTGTGCGTCTTTTGCATTCGTCCAAGCTGTGGCTGCTGATTCGACCCAATGCCAGGATCTTCTGTAGGTCAGTCATCCATTGTTGTTTATCAGACTGCCAGTGAAAGGACAATATGTTCTGATACATAAAGCTTACACAAATCCTGCTGTGAGAGAATTGTATTTACAAATTACTAGGGGGGGTTGAAATATCAAGGGAATAAACATATAGGAGAAATTAGGTCCATTTTCAGGATAATTTCTCTCCGATTAATCAGAACGG